CTTCTTCTTCTTCTTCTTCTTCTTCTTCTTCTTCTTCTTCTTCTTCTTCTTCTTCTCCTTCTCCTTCTCCTCCTCCTCCTCCTCCTCCTCCTCCTCCGTTGCAGTTATCAGTTTCTTACCCAAGGTGTGATGGACATGGCACATGGGGGTTGGGTTTCAATAAAAATTAAACCAACATTTTGACAGTCCGTGGCAGAAACAATGGGCCGGGGGCTTAGCTCGTCAAAACTGGCTCCGGAAACACCCCCGCGTTTTGTATGCTGCAATTAATGTGTTACTCTTTGCGGTGCTTTTCTCTTCCAACTTCACCAGGGAGTCTTTCTCCTTCTTGGTTAATTAGAATCAACATAGTCAATATGGAAATGGATTTAATTTGAGATACAAACAGGCATTCTCATTCACTCAACCCCAGGGGCAGGAGTCCAATTAACACCTCTCCCCTCTCCAGCAGAAAACTGAGAGGAAAAACAGAGTTTGGAACAAATGCCAGTTTAATGGGACATCTTGATCATTTGCAGAGCAATTCAATGGGGGGGGAGATAGATTTGTTTACTCTGGAGCAGGGAAGGGAAGCCGCTGGTTTCTAATCTTGCAGGAATCCACAGATTTGGGAAGTGTTGAAAGTGCCGGTTTATTTTCTCTCCAAGAAGCCCCACGTAGGAGGCTAGAGGTCCTTTGAGTGACCCAGTAGAAAATTAAAGTTTCTGTCTTAGGTTTTGTCCTTCAAAATCCATAGATGCAAAATTCAAAGACCTGGGCGAAACGTAATTTGCACACTCAAAGTTTTTGGTTTTTTTTTAAAGAAACCCCCTCAAATACTCTAAACCCTTCAAAAAAAAAAAGTCTAAAATCTGAAATGGACCTTCTTCAGGTCTAAAAATATATAGGGAACCGGCCTTGAATTGGGCCAGATGATTACTCAGAACCGTTTTCATGTTTGATATATATATATATATCGCGACCCCATGGACAACGTTCCTCCAGGCCTTCCTGTCCTCTACCATCTTCTGGAGTCCCTTTAAGCTGACGCCTACTGCTTCAGTGACTCTATCCAGCCACCTCCTTCTCTGTCGTCCCTTTCTTCTCTTGCCCTCCATCTTTCCCAGCATCAGGCTCTTCTCCAGTGAGTCCTTCCTTCTCATTAGGTGGCCAAAGTACTTGAGTTTCAACTTCAGGATCTGGCCTTCTAAAGAGCAGTCGGGATTGATCTCCTCTAGGACTGACCGGTTGGATCGCCTTGCAGTCCAGGGGACTCACAGGAGTCTTCTCCAGCACCAGAGTTCAGAGGCCTCCATTCTTTGGCGCTCAGCCTTTCTTATGGTCCAGCTTTCACAGCCATACATTGCAACTGGGAAAACCATGGCCTCCACTATACGCACTTTTGTTGGCAGGGGGATGTCTCTGCTTTTTAGTATGCTGTCTAGATTTGCCATAGCTTTCCTCCCCAGGAGCAAGCATCTTTTAATTTCTTGGCTGCAGTCCCCATCTGTGGTGATCTTGGAGCCCAGGAAGATAAAATTCCCTGATCAGAGTTTGGTTGGCGAACAAAACAAGCGCATTGCGCTAACCGAATTTCACAACGGAATAGCTAATCTAGAAGCACCTCCATTCACCTCCAAAAGAGGTCTTATCTTTCGGAGACTGATCGAATAATTAAGATACTAATTTTGCTCCCTCTGAAACTCTTCTGTCAACGTTTGCCCCTAAACCTTCTTGATAGCCCCAGCCTTATCCTGTTCCCATTTCTGAGAGCTAGCTAGGGAATTCTGGGAGTTGAAATTTGCATACCTTCACGGTGCCAAGGTTGAGATATATACGCTCAGGACCCTGGAAGGAAGAAAAAAAAAAATAGAAGAGGGAAAAAGGCATTTCTTTCATCCAATCATCGTATCTTTCTTTAAGGAAATATTTCCCTTGAATTTGACAGACTGGCGCTTTTACATATTCGCATTTGGGCCCCGGAACGAATCTGCACATGGTGAAACAATTTTGCATGCAAAAACGAACGCATTTGCATGCGGGAGATGTGCTTTTGATATGGGGGGAAAAATTGTGAAGATGAATCACGTTGCCTTGATGTATTTCCACCACCCCCCTCAAATTATACAGGTAACTCTTTATGTTGAGAGGGAAGGGGGAAAAATCTGTCCTAAGATAGCGTGTAATGCTTAAGGCTTATTCGAAAAGTATTTCCATTGGGACAAATTATCTTTCTTCCTAAGATGATAAAAGGTCTGGGAGCTAAACCTTAGGATAAATGATTGATGGAACTAGGTATGATAGCCTAGTGAAGGCTTAGGGGAGATCTCCCAATACTTGAGGGGCTGCCACAGAGAAGAGGGGGGCAACCTATTTTCCAAAGCACCTAAGCACAGGACAAGAAGTAATGGCGGGAAGATTATCAAAGAGATCTGGAATTAAGGAGAAATTTCCTGACAGGGAGAACAACTAACCAGTGGAACAACTTGCCTCCAGAAGTTGTGGCTGCTCCATCAATGGAGGTTTTCAAAAACAGACTGGACAACCATTTGATCAGAATGATAGGTCTCCTGCCTTTAGCAGGGGTTGGACTAGAAGACCTCCAAGGTCCCTTCCAACTCTAGGATTCTATGAGTGCATAGTTGACCCCTTCAGTAAGGCCACTGTCCAACCTCCCCCAGGTCCAAAGGTGGGGGGGGAAACCACAGCCAGAACAAAACTACCCCTGTGTGCAAATCCCTCCGGGAATTCCAAGCTCTTGTTAATGCCTTGAGAAATGTGCCAGGGAGGGAGACAAAAGCTGCCAGCAATTCCAGGGCAGAATTCTCGGGGGGGGGGGGAGGAAAGGAAACAGGAACAGGCTGGACCACGTACAGGTAGTCCTCGACATACGACGACAGTTGAGGCCAACATTTCCGTCGCTAAGAATGATCTTGGTTGAGTTTTGCCCCATTTTGCGACCCTTTTGCCAGTCGTTAAGCGAGTCACTTAAGTTGTTAAGTGAATCGTGTCTTCCTTAAGTGAATCTCCGGCTTCTCCCACTGACTTTGCTTTGCAAGAAGCCGACTCGGGAGGTTGCAAATGGCGATCGCTTGATCCCAGGACACCGCAACTGTCGTACATGCAACGGGGGTGCCGAGGGCCCGAATGTTGACCACGCGAAGCGGTAAATGTCGCTAAGTGTGAAAAACTGATCACGAGTCGCTTTTTTCCAGTGAGGTGGCAATTTCCAACGGTCACTAAACGGATGGCGGGAAGTTGAGGATTACCTATGCACCAGGGATCCCCAACCATGGCCACTTTTAAGACTGGACTTCAACTCCCAGAATTCCTCAGCCAGCTTCTGGGAGTTGAAGTCCACCAGTCTTAAAGTGGCCACAAGTGGGAACTTCTGTTATACACAACTGAATTCCTGATCTCCTGGCTCAATGAAGCCTTCCTTGCCTCCTGTGGATATCCCGAGCTCTCTTGATGAACAGCTCCCCCCCCCCCCAACCAGGTCCGATTTATAAAAAATATTTTTCACCGTATAAATAACAGCGTAAAGAGAGATTCTACGAAACTCTTGAGCGATTTAAGAACAAAATCCAGTAAGGGAAAAAAATTGCTTGCGTATCCTATCCGGTCCACTACATCGAGCTAAGCCGAAATCAAACAAACCACGTTAGAGCCAAACCTGACATGCTAAGCATAGGCTTGCCATGTATTGTTTGAGTTTATTGCATTTTTGTGTGTGTATAAATCGCCTGTCTTGCATGCATTTTTCCCTTGGTGGTTTTTGAATGAGACTCTACTGCCCCCTGCTGGTCAGAAGGCATTTTACAGGAAGTTCAGCGTTGGGATTCTTCACAAAAAGCTTTGCCAATTTTACAGTGGTACTTTTGATACTCAACTGCTCTGAAACTCATCAAACTTTTTAGAATAGAATAGAGCTGGAAAGGGTCTTGGAGGTCTTCTAGTCCAGCCCCCTGCTTAAGCAGGAGAACCTATACCATTTCAGACAAGTGACTGTCCAGTCTCTTCTTAAAAACCTCCAGCGATGGAGCACCCACGATTTCTGGTGTCCAGCTGTTCCACTGGTTGATTGTCCTCACTGTCAGGAAGTTTCTCCTTAATTCCAGGTTGCTTCTCTCCTTAGTCAGTTTCCAACCATTGTTTCTCGTCCTTCCCTCTGGTACTTTGGAGAATAATTTGACTCCCTCTTCTTTGTGGCAGCCTCTCAAATACTGGAATATTGCTATCATGTCTCCCCTCTTTCTTCTTTTCTTTAGACTAGCCAAACCCAAGTCCCGCAGCCGTTCTTCGTGTGTTTTAGTCTCCAGGCCATTGATCATCTTAGCTGCTCTTCTCTGAATTTTTTCCAAGGGCTCAGCATCTTTTTTGTAGTATGGTGTCCAAAATTGGCTGCAATATTCCAGGTGTGGTCTCGCTAGGGATTTATAAAGCGGTACTAACACTTAGTACTCAGTGCATTTTTGTTGTCATGGTACTTGTTTGTTTGGTACTCAACGCACAAGTTAGAACTTGGTGTCAGTTGCCTTGTGATACACTATCTTGTTCCTTATAGGGGAAAAAAAGTTTGCTATTCATCGCATCTTCCAGAACTAATTAACCATGAGTATTGAGGTACCTCTATCTATCTATCTATCTATCTATCTATCTATCTATCTATCTATCTATCTATCTATCTATCTATCATCTATCTATCTATCTATCATCTATCTATCCATCCATCCATCCATCCATCCATCCATCCATCCATCCATCCATCTATCTATCTAACTATCTACACACACACACATATAAAAACTATTTTTCTGCTTAGGGATAAGGATAATACAGAGATATGCTGGATTGCTGCACAAACTGTCAAGGTTTCTATTCAAGAGTGCTTTACGAACGCCAAATGTATATTGTTTGTTTCCCATTCTGGCTTATCTGTTTGAAGAGCTTCACAAACACAAGAGCTTTCGGTCTGTCCATCGGAGAAAAAGTATTCGCTCCATTTAAGCCAAAAGGAAAGAAGTCTGCTTGTTTTCGTTTAACATTTATTTGTTTCCTTACTGCCTCAAGGTGGTTCCCTATTGATACAAAGGTTAAGAGTCACAGACACAACACAAATGGAAAACAGGAAATTAAAGAAAGCACTCCTTGCCTAAATACAAAGAAAAGAGAAGAAAAAAAAACCCCACACAGTAAACAGAAGTGTGCAGTGTTTGTGCAAACACTTTACAAACTCAAAAGACCCAAAACTCCATTGCTGAAATGACTACAACTATATTTAAGTTCTGTATATAAAACCGGATTATTTCAAAAATGTCCTTTGTTGGGTTTGGATTTTTTTTTTTTTTTTTTTTGCAATTCTGGAGGAGAAAAAAAAAGTTTTACAAAAAAAAAACAACATTATCCAGAAGTCTTGCAGATTTCAAAGGTTTTGTTCTTTCTGTGTTTTTTTTTTGTTTTGTTTTTTTGCTTGTACATGATGAATAGCAATCGGGTCTCCTGATCTTGGAGAGCTACTATGATAGATTATCTAACGTTTCCTCACATGTCCTAGCGACTACAAACAGGAGTAGGAGTAGGAGTAGGAGTAGGAGAGAGAGAGAAAGAAGGAAGGAAAACCTGGAGTGTATTTTAATACACAAACAGGGTGGGGCTGCCAAGAAAGGGGGGTTTAAGGGTGGGAAGGGGATTGGATCTTAAGCTCGTTCACCACGGATGCGACGGGCCAGTTGTATGTCTTTTGGCATGATAGTGACCCGCTTGGCATGGATGGCACACAAGTTGGTATCCTCAAACAGACCCACGAGGTACGCCTCGCTGGCTTCCTGGAAGATAACAGAAAGGCGCAGTTAGAAAAGGGACCGATAATTACACAATTGGATGGGATTATAAACGTACACAGGCGCAATCCTCGACTTACAGCTAGAGTTTCCATTGCTAAGCAAGGCAGTTGTTGAGTGGGTTTGTACCCGACTTTATGACCTTGTTTGCCATGCCTGTTAAGCGGATCACCACCGTTGTTAAGTGAATCACACGGTGGTCAGGAGAATCTGGCTTCCCCCATTAAACGTGGCTTAGCTGGGAAGGTCGCAGATGGCAATTGTTGTGAATACATGCCGGTTGCCAAGTGCCCAGATTTCGATCCCGTGATCGTGCGGCTGCTGCGACAGTTTGAGGTCTGAAGGCAGCTTATAAATCACTTTTTTCGGTGCCGTTGTGACTTTGAACAGTCACTAAACAAATGGCCGTAAGTCAAGGACTACACACATACACACACACACACAACGAGGGAACTGTTAATCCATCGTATTTCGAACTCAGCCTAGAATGATCAAATTCTTTCCTTTTGAGATAAACAGCCTTATGCAGAATGCAGGTCAAGAGTAAAAATAATAATAAGCCACAGGAACAAAAAATAGCAAGTCCAAGAAATTAAAGTTAGGAAAAAGACTACATAACCAATGCTTTTTTGGGGGGGGGGCATCAGAATGGCCTAAAAAGACTGTCAAATAGTTTACACCAGGGATTCCCAATCCCCAGGCAGGGGCCTAGTTGCAAATGGGCTGCAGAAACAGCAGGCCGGTGCGTAGGTGCACACAGCTTGACTTATGTGAGTGGCGGGTCAGTACACGCAAGCATCTCAAACTAGTTGAGCTGTGTGTGCGTGTGTGTGTGTGCTGGCCAACCGCTCACACAAGTCAAGCACACACATAGGCCCGGTTATCCTCTTCCCCCCGCCCCAGCTGGGCCAACACACAAAGGTTGGGGACCGCTGATTTACTCCATCTTGCCATAACCTTCTGATCTTTCCTTGCTCCCATCACATTCATACAGTGTCTATTCTATTTGGGCAATTGTTGCTTTCTTGAGACTGCCAATGTCCAAAAAAAAAGAAAAAAAAAGAAGGAAAGATCTTTAGAAGAGGATAATTCAGGGTTTTTTTTTCCCTTCAAGCCTTATTAGTTTATTCAATAGAGAGCTTTCAAGGTTCTGGAGTTCCCTAGCCTTAGAATGGCTGAAATCCAGAGACCTCTCAGGAAAGCACACTAAATAACAGAAGCTTGTAGTACTGGCAGTTTTAGGGGGTACAGTTCTACAGGCCTTTGGAACAACCCTTTTGAGATACATTTGGCTGTCAGCGGAATAGTTGTCTAACTGCACCTTAAAACCGGAAGAGAGAGATTTTGAGGAAACATTGACCTGCAAAGCCCCGATGGCGGCACTCTGGAACCGCAGGTCTGTCTTGAAATCCTGAGCAATTTCACGGACCAGGCGCTGGAAGGGCAGCTTGCGGATCAGCAACTCTGTGGATTTTTGATACCGCCGGATTTCTCGCAGGGCCACCGTGCCAGGCCTAGATGGGGTGAGGTGAAAATAAGTTTACGTGGCTCACCTCCCAGGAGCAATTCCCAGGATTCCTTAAGAATCAGAAATGTTCTTTCCACAGAAAAGTTGTTAATAGTGGCAATCAAAGACAACGGACGTGCAAACTTCCCTGGTGGACAAATAATTCTGGAGGTGAGAATGGGGCCTCCCCAATTCCACCAAAGGCTTAATCCAAATACCTGTAACGGTGAGGTTTTTTCACTCCACCAGTTGACGGTGCACTTTTTCGAGCGGCCTTTGTGGCCAGCTGTTTTCGTGGCGCCTTCCCACCAGTGGATTTACGAGCAGTCTGCTTGGTACGGGCCATTCTGGAAGTTTCTTAGGATGCAAGATGTCTGCTAACAAAAAGAGAGGATCCTTCCTTAAAAAGACATTAACACTCTTCCAACACGTTCTTAAAACAAAACACTATGAAGCCCGAGATAAATTTTCAAATATTTATCTCGATGTACAAAATCAACTTATTGTCTTGGAAAACAGTCTGCTTACAAAGAATATATTTATAAATAAAATGAGAGAAAGAAAGGAAAAAAACTTCCTATTTTCCAAAAAATAATTTTTCCTATTTTGGCAGCCAAAATCTTGCGTGGACAATGTGAGTCTCTTGAAACAGCCTCTTTCTTCCAACATACTTGTGTTATTTCAGGAGTTTCTTCTGTAAACTAATTTTTTTTTCCTATTTACAAATCACTCAGCTTCAGAAAAAGGGATATTCTGAGTTCTGGACAATGCAAGAGAGGGCTTACCTCTCCTCCTATTCTAAAATGACTCCTAAGGCTAAGTGGTCCTTGATTTAGGATTGTAAATCATAAATGACAGTAACTGAGTGCAGAACTACAGTTGAAAGTTATTGGGGTCCTTAAGTCAAGGCATCGTGTGACCAGAAGCAGCAGTTGTTAAGCAAATGCAGCAGTTGTTAAATGGATCTATTTTATCCAATGGGTGTTTTTTTTTTTTGCTGGAAATCAGAAGCACCAGAAACCACCCCAAAATGTTGAAAATCAAAGTTATGTGACCGCAGGATGCTCCAAAGAGCTGTAAAGATGAACCGGTTGCTAAGCGCCCAAAACATGATTCTGTGGTTGCAGGGGGGATAAATGTCACTTCAAAATTGGGGTGCTAAGTAGCTTTTGCAGGTCCATCATAATGGCCACTAAGCAACTGGTTGTAAGTTGAGAACTTTGGTATTATAAAACTGCCAGGCATGCCTACAGTCCTTAGCTCCAAGTAAAATCCACTGGACCTCATGGACCAGATTTAAAAAGTTTTTTTTTTTAAAAAAAAACTGGATGCTTCAAAGCAGTTTTGGAGAAGAATGATCTTACTGAGGCTGTGTTTGTCCCGAGATTAAAAAATGGTGCTGGATCTGTTCAGATTAGAAATGTCTGATTACAGGTTTTTTTTGCACTGTGTCTGGGTACAGATTTGTTAAGTGAGTTTTGCCCCATTTTACGACTTTTCTTGCCACAGTTGTTAAGTGAATCACCGCAGTTGTTAAATTAGTCACACGATTAAGTGAATCTGCCTTCCCCATTGTCGTTGCTTGTCAGAAGGTCGCAAAAGGAGGTCACGTGACCCCGGGGGACGCTGCAACCGTCATAAGTACATGCCAGTTGCCAAGCCTCTGAATTTTGATCACGTGACCACGGGGATTGCTGCAAAGGTCGTAACTGTGAAAAACGGTCATAAGTCACTTTTTTCCCAGTGCCGTTGTAACTCTGAATGGTCACTAAATGAATCGTCGTAAGTCGAGGACTGCCTGTAGTTTCTCCACTTGCTCCGATTGAAGCAGCACAGAAGTTGCAGTGAATAAAATAAGGATTAATGTGCTGGCAGGCAATGACTTTGCAAGCACAAGCAAAATGTTACATATTTGCAAAACCTATACATAAAAATCCAGCTCTGGATTCTGTTTTCTCATCAGGCTGCGATTTTTAACGAAGAGGCAGCAAAAAAAAGTATTTTTTAAAAAAATTAACTAAAACGGAATAAGAGTTCCTTGTCATAAATGAGACAGCTATTAAGGAAGAAAAACAAGGAAAGGAAAAGCTTGGCAGCCTCGAAATGAACATCTAGAGATAATTAACTTCAACTCCCAGAATTCCTACGCAGAGCGTCCTTCCCAAATAAACAGCTCGGAATTCTGGGAGTTGAAGTGGCACCTCTACTGAGGCGGCTGGGTTGCGCGAGACTAAAGACTCCACGCCCCAGAAGCCTTTGCGGAAATCGTCTCCTCCAATTGGCTGTTCGGAACGTTAGGGACACCCACCAGGCTCTCCCCCGCCCTCCCCGAACGCACGTACGCCGCGGAGCTCTTCGTTCCGACTAGCCCGCGCGCGCGGCCAACCAATCGCCTTTTAGCCCGGGCTCGCTGAAGAGCACAGCGAGGGCGGGATGGCTCGAAGGCTCCAGGCAGACTGACACCGACTCGGCGCCAATCAGCCTCCACCTTTCCAGCCTATCACGAAAGCCACCGTAATCGTCGCCCTTTCCACCAATCGCCGGGGGAGGCACACGGAAGGCGGGATTTAAGCTTCCACGGGTGTGTGGTTTTGGGGGGGGCAGGAGATAAAACGCATCGCCTCAAACGACCCGAGTTTTCAATTCGCCCCCTTTTTTCGTCCCCCCCCTCCCCGCCGTCGAAAGGGGGGGGGGTCGAGGCGGGGGCCCTCCCCGGTGTTGGCCTTACCTGAGCTCGTCCGCCTCGCGCTTCTACGGCCGTGGGTCGTGTCGCGGCCGCGCTCGCGCTGCCTCCTCGCCGACTTCCCGCCTTTCCCGCCTGCCCCCACAGAAAATGGCGGGGTCCAGGGCCAGGCTTTTTAACCGTCATGCACCGGGGCTGGAGAAGGAGGAGGGAGCGGGGGAGGGAGGGGGAGGGTCAGCTGAGGTAAACCTGGCGCGCAGGCCGCCATCTTGGCCCCGCGGCCTTCTCGCCTCGCCGCCCGGTTCTTCCGAGCCCCGCTGGGCTTGGCGGCGTCGCCAGCCGTGGCTCTCGGCTCCAGGGCGGCTGGGATGAGGCTACCCGGGGATAAATGGAGGATACCCGAGGATAAATGGAGCTGGCTTCGCGGGACACCCAGTGAAACCCGGGTGGGGGAGGGAAGGGGGTGCAGAAGGATGCCGGTCGTGGATCCGTTGCCTTCCTGAGGGGAATTTCTGCCTCTATTATCATCCCGTCTATCTCATCTCTTGTATTTTATATCTCTGGTTCGTCTTTATATTAGATATCTACATGAAAATTTTTACCTCTTTTATCATCCCATCTATCTTATCTCTTGTTATTTTATATCTGATTCGTCTTTTGTCTTTATGTTAGATATCTACAGTCCGTTGACCATGAGAATTTCTACCTCTTTTATCATCCCATCTATCTCTGTAGTCTATCTTATCTCTTGTTATTTTATATCTCTGATTCGCCTTTTAGGTCTTTATATTAGATATCTACAGTCCGTTGCCTTCATGAGGGGAATTTCTACCTCTTATCATCCATCTATTTCATCTGTATTTTCTCTCTCTGTGGCTGTCTCCTATGCCTTTATAATAATAATAAAAGTTGGAAGGGACCTTGGAGATCATCTAGTCCAACCCCCTGCTCAAGTAGGAGACCCTATAGCGTTTCAGACAAATGGTTGCCCAATCCCTTCTTAAAAACCTCCAGTATTGGAGCATCCACAACTTCTGGAGGCAGGTTGTTCCACTGGTTAATTGTTCTAACTGTCAGGAAGTTTCTTAGTTCTAGGTTGTTTCTCTCCTTAATAATAATAATAATAAAGTTGGAAGGGATCTTGGAGGTCATCGAGTCCAACCCCCTGCCCAGGCAGGAACCCTACACCATTTCAGACAAACGGCTGTCCAGTCTCTTCTTTAAAACTTCCAGTGTTGGAGCATTCACCACTTCTGGAGGCAGGTGGTTCCACTGGTTAATTGTTCTGTCAGGAAGTTTCTCCTTAGTTCTAAGTTGCTTCTCTCCTTGATCAGTTTCCATCTGTTGCTTCTCGTCCTGCCTTAGATATCTACAGTATCTAGGTAGCACTATAAAGGGCTAAGTAAGTGGGTGGATATATATACAAGTCCTTGACTTACAATTCATTTAGTGACTGTCCAACGTTACAACAGCACTGAAAAAAGGGACTTGGGACCATTTTTCATACTTAGGACTGTTGCAGCATCCCCATGATTGCATTATTAAATCATTAAAATTTACACGCTTGGCAACTGACTCATACTTATGACAATTGCAATGGGGTCATGTGATCCCTTTTGTGATCTTCTGACTATTATTATGATTAATTATAACTATGATTTATGACCTATAACTTTGTTCTTGTGTTTATACTGAGAGCTTCTGTACCAGAGACAAATTCCTTTTGTGTCCAATCACACTTGTTCTATTCAGAGAATAGATGGTATATAAATGCAGTAAGTAAATAAATAATGTATCAATCTGCAACAGAATCTAAAGTGTTACTGTGCTCTAGGGGCAGATTGAATGTTGTGCACAACATTTTCACACAGGTTGCGGCCTCTTGGAAGTAACATTTTATTAAATGTTCAGTGCATTTGACAATGTTTGAGCAAATAAATCAGAAGTGGGTATAAAGCACACAATCCTGCAATAGGGAAGTTAGGAGCGCTGGGAAAGAAAGAAGAACGCACATTTTCAAGTTAAGATGTTCTAGGATTCTAAAATTGTAGTTCAATACAAAAAGGTTTTTTTGCATCTGGTTCCATCATATATTGGAAGCGTTTGTGCATGATGAAAGCAAACATTTGATGAATCTTCCACTCTTCCTATTTTTTAGTAAATCCTTTCTCAGTTGCCACAAATGCAGGTATTAAAAAAAACAAAGCCATAATTGCATGCAGCACAGAATGAAAACAGAAGATAGATGTGTTAGGAGTTGCAGGCTTAATTTTTAATTTACACCCAAACACTGACTTAGAGCACAAGTTCTTCCATCTGGCCTTGATCAAGTTGGCATCCAGCGCAAAGTTTTCAGGGAACTGCCAGGTGTCAGACAACATTTCAGCAGCTCCCGTCATCGAGCGATTTGCCAAGATGAGCAAAACAGATTTTTCTTGAACTGCCAAATAAAGAAGAAATTTGTTTTTAAAAACCTGCAAGTACAAGGAAAAGTTAGCTATTGTTTTTCCTAAAGCACGTCTTTCCAGATGGAAAGGTTTTTGAGTTTCCTGCAGATGTGAACATGTTTTCACAGGTTGACTGGCCAGACAGTGTGCCCTACTTTTAGATATGGACTATCTTATTATTAGGTTTGGTGGGGGAAGGAGAGCCCCACTTAGATAATGGCTTAAAAATATTTCACGTAAGCCTCAATTTATATGAACTGAAGAATCATAAAACCCGGATTATGGGTTGAAACTTCATAAATACTACCTAGAACAAACATTCTTTAGAATGAAGGATTGCTAATATTTACAACTATTTTTGGAAATAACATTAAAAGTTGTCACATTTCATTATTTGCAAGGAGACGGGATAGAAGCTATTTTTAAAATACATGCTAGCCTTTTTAGGCTTCAGATCTGCACTACATGGACAAAGCCATCTGTAGAAATTCTCCAAGCCAACATTAATAAAAGATTGCCGCCAGATCAGTCTTTAGAGCAAAGTGTTTTCTGTATCAACTCTTTTTTTTATTAAAAAAAAGGGCTTATGCATTCCAGTTTGGGGGAAAGCAACATTTTACTGGGACCCTTTGAGAAGTAAAAGGGCAATGCCATCCCTATAGGGGCCCCAGACCCAGCATATAGCTGATACTTTGTTAGACAGAGGTCTTTAAGAATACAACTGGAATAAAATGAGTTTCAAAACAAGTCTGATTTTTACCTCTGTTGCATTCTGAGCTGCTAGCCCACGCTTAAAGTCGTCCTCATGCCAAAGCTATTTTGATGGCCTTAATTATCTTGTTGAGTTTGGCATCGTCGTCCACAAAGCCATCTCCGTTCTAGAGAAAAGAAGGAAAGATTCAATTTTGCTGTACAAACGACATAAGTTGCTGCAGTACTAAGAGAGAATGGCAAATAAACTTTCATGCCAGCGCACGCCCAAGCCCTTGCCTCCAGGTAGATCTGTTACACTTCCTTGGAAAAACAAATCTGCCCTTCACTGTTAACTAGATTTGCTCTTAGTGAGAGAAAACATTGTTCTCAACGTAACAGAAATTAGCATTTATGGAAGTGGGGAAAGAAGGAAGAAAGTTCAACTATCTCCTTGGACTATATTCAAAGGCACAGGAAATTGTGCCTTTGAGTTCTTCCACAATGAGAGACTTCCTACGTATTAAGTACTAGTTACAGAAGGGCTACAGCCCAGCTCCTTCCACGCCCATGTGTTTGTACACACAAAAGAAGCCATGGTTCCCTTTCCGTGATGGACCTTACGTGAACTCCCCAGAGGTCAAAGAGTTGCAAACAAAACCCAATTGTCTTCCAGACAGCGCCTTCAATTGTAGCTTAATATCTAGACGTCCTGCTAAGCCATAATGTGGTTTATTTAGTTTCAGGCTTGACCATCATAATTTGCACAACTGAGCTCCCAACTATGTTCTTCGTGGTCTGTGTTGGCTTCAGTGCAAGGGTTTTTTTGTTGAACTGCTCACCTTTTTGGAGTGCACCACCTTGCCGGCTACCATCACTTCAAACCATCCCGTGACCTGTGGAGTCCCTTCTCCGCTCTAGATGGAACCAAGACACCGTTACCCCGTAACAATCACAGACAGAAACACAAGCACGCACCCTACTTCTCCGTCAAGGGTTTTCCAATCATCTTCACCTAGTCTTTGAACCCAGATCCCTCTCCCACACTCTGTCTATGGACTGAGCCCAACCGGATGGCACCTGTTTTCTTCCTGCAGGGGCCGCCCAACACAGCACGCTCGCTGGGGAATTCTGGGAGTTGAAGTCCACATTACCTTCCAGTTGCTGAAGTTGAGAAACATTGGCATAGATCAGGGGTGGGGAACCTTGGCTCTTTTATGACTCGTGGACTTCAACTCCCAGAATTCCTCAGCCAACGGGGGGAACTATGGCCCCTTCATGACTTGTGGACTTCAACTCCCAGAATTCCTGAGCCAGCCATGCTGAGGGGAGAGGTTGCCATGCTGGCTCAGGAATTCTGGGAGTTGAAGTCCACAAGTCATAAAAGAGCCAAGGTTGCCTACCCCTGGCATACATGATATTGAACCGATGACAATCCCATTTGGTGTAAAGCACTACAGGTAGTCCTCAACGTATGACTAGTCGCTTGGTGTCTGAAGCTATACTCAATGGTTCTCAGAGCTGTTTACAATCTGGTTTCAAAGTTCAGCACCCCTGCCCTGTGGTCACATGACTGCATTTTGACTCAGGAATTCTGGGAGTTGAAGTCCACAAGTCATAAAAGAGCCAAGGTTGCCTACCCCTGCTTTAAGGCAACTTTTTCGGTTTACATCATGTCCTTACAGAGAGAAGACCTTTGATTATAGCGTAGTTGATAAACTACCGGTACTTAAAATGACAAAATCTTTCTCCTTGCCCCAAATCTACTTTATTTAGGAACCCCATGAGATGACCAGAAGAAAAGGAAGCCAAAATCAGGAATGGCTCCAAAAGACTCACAATTTCCAGCTTGCCCGGAAACTCTTTTTCGAGTTCCTTTCTGAGCTGTTGAAACTACAAGGGGGGAAAAAAGGAGAAAGTTATAAAATTCAGAAAAATCCATGCTCAATGTTTTTTCAGAGAAATTAAATCTCAGTGAAGAGAAGCATATTAAAAAAAATGCAGTAAAAAGACAAATTTCCCATATCTAACAAGCTGTTTATCTGGGCTCTTCAATTAGGCTCCAAGTATCTTTGCTACGTGACTAAATTGATTTTATTTTACTCCTTACATGCACATGGATGCCCATTTCATGCCCATTTCATACACCATGGGAGGGCGGCTCACAATTAAACATAATTGACATACCTTGGGTTTGTAGCCTCAGGCTCCACTAGAATCAAAACAAAAGGAAAAATTAACATTACTTTCTGTTTGTCAGCACAAGAAGCTGTCTCATCACCATCATAATTCTCTATTATGCTTAATCAGATCCCTGGGATGGCAAATCCAGAAACAAGCATTCAAATGCGGATACATTTTCCTGGATCTGCCAAAACCTCAAGATACCTTTTTTTTTTTTTTTGAAGTCCTGGATTTACCGCATAACTGGGACCAGAATTGCTGCTGTCCAGCCTAGCAAGGCAGTGCCAAAAATGCCAGCCAATGGGAAAGCCTAAGAGCCACATGTAGGAAGCTTTTGGCCAGAGAAACTGAGTCACAGATGCTGTTTTGCAGCCAAAAAGGCACCAAAGAACATTTCAATGTGGCCTTTTAGGGACAGCTGTGAGCCAGCCATGTGCTGCAGCTGCCAAAAAAAGCAAACACAGTCCTGGGCTGCATTAACAGAGGGATAGAATCAGGATCACGTGAAGTATTAATACCACTTTACAATGCCTTGGTAAGGCCACGCTTGGAATACGGCATCCAGTTTTGGTCACCACGATGTAAAAAAGAGGTTGAGACTCTAGAAAGAGTACAGAGAAGAGCAACAAAGATGATCAGGGGACTGGAGGCTAAAACATATAAGGAACGGCTGCTGGAATTGGATATGTCTAGTTTAACGAAGAGAAGGACGAGGGGGGACATGATAGCAGTCTTCCAGTATCTCAGGGGCTGCCCCAAAGAAGAGGGAGTCAAGCTATTCTCCAAAGCACCTGAAGGCAGGACAAGAAGCAACGGATGGAAACTTACCAAGGAGAGAAGCAACCTAGAACTAAGGAGAAATTTCCTGACAGTCAGAACAATTAACCAGTGGAACAACCTGCCTCCAGAAGTTGTGGGTGCTGCATCACTGGAGGCTTTCAAGAGATTGGACAACCATTTGTCTGAAATGGTATAAGCTCTCCTGCCTGAACGGGGTTGGACTAGAAGACCTCTAAGGTCCCTTCCAGCTCTCTTATTCTGCTGTATATGGTTATAGGTGCTGGAGAGATGGAGCCCTGTGTGGAAGGCCAAGTTTGGTCTGCTAGCAAGCCACAGTCGCACCCTTGGTGGCAAAGTTTTATTAAACGGGGGGGGGGGGGGAAGCCATTACCCCTACACTTAGGCCAGGGGTGGGGAACTTTGGCTCTTTTATGACTTGTGGACTTCAACTCCCAGAATTCCTGAGCCACATAGGCCTTTTTAATTTGACACATCAGAGTCAGAAACCACCCACCTCGTTCACATTCCCATCCCAAAGAAGCCAGCATCAATGCCCCATTGTTTAAACATCTTACTCAACAGCCTGCGCAAGCCAACTTTTGCAAATCTCCCATTCAAGGAAACGTTTTGAGGCTTCCGCATCTCCTCTCCAGCTCTGAACACAAGGCTTAGCCCAAACTAAACATGCTCCACGATGCCAGGCATAGGATCCAGTGACGTGCAACCCCCCCCCCCCGCCCTTCTCCAAATAGAATTCAGTAAGCCACGGTTAAGTTACTCAGCCCTAACGCAACCCCCGTACTTGGCTTCAGACGCGAATAACTCTCCTTTTAGCCTGCAACGTGACTGAAGGGCGCAGCCGCTTTTGCCTTCGGGCTCCAGAAGGACCTGCCCTATTAATCCCCCTGCGCAAACGTTCGCTGCAATCAGGGACCACTTTCCCCCATTCCATTTATTTTAAAACTGTTAGGAACCCGTGCACCGGGGGGGGGGGGGGAATGGCAAGATTCCGACGGCTATAAAATGCTGTGACCGTTGAAGGAAAGACAAGGATAGAGAAAGCTCGAACAGCATTCTTCAAAATGAAAAAGGTCTTCTGCAGTCACGACCTAAGACTGAAAATCAGGCTTGTCAGATGCTATATTTTTTTCTATCCTGCTCTTATGGAGTAGACCTGCAGTGTTTCTCAACCTTGACCATTTTAAGGCATGTGGACTTCAACTCCCAGAATTCCACAGCCAGCGTTGCTGGCTGTGGAATTCTGGGAGTTGAAGTCCACATGCCTTAAAATGGTCAAGGTTGAGAAACACTGGAGTAGAGTTGGTCTCTGACAGAAGGCCACCTAAAGAGACTAGGAGCATTTGAAATGTGGGTTTATAAGCATCTGTTACGTATAAGCTGGGTTGACAAGATCAGAAATGAGGAGGGGATCAGCCGCCTGGGAAAGCCCAGGGAAATCATCCAAATAATTAAAAAAAACAAAAATTGGAATATTTCGGACACCCAGAAAAACACGGCATACTCCATTTCATCCTCTAGGGCAGGGCTCTTCAAAGTTGGCCCTTTTATGACTGGTGGACTTCAACTCCCAGAATTCCTCAGCCAGGCATGCCTGGCTGAGGAATTCTGGGAGTTGAAGTCCACCAGTCATAAAAGGGCCAACTTTGAAGAGCCCTGCTCTAGGGAAAGATTGCAGGCAAACGAGGTCCAGGCAGAAGAAGAAGAAGATCATGGCTTCAAAATTTAAGGGACTGGTTTGGACAAAACTGAGCTGCCCTTTTTCGTGCGGCTGCCGCTAAAACCAGGATCGCCAACACGATCGCCAACGTCCGATAACGGATAGGGCACAAGAAGAAGAGAAGAAGAAGAATAAAATGCTGCGTCTTGCCACAGATAAACCTGCAACGCCTAAGCCAGGGGTAGGCAACCTTGGCTCTTTTATGACTCCTGGACTTCAACTCCCAGAATTCCTGAGCCAGCACAGCTGGCTCAGGAATTCTGGGAGTTGAAGTCCACCAGTCATAAAAGAGCCAAGGTTGCCTATCCCTGGAATAGGCCTACCAGTTTTTGATAGTCTACTCCTGTCAGGCTTCATAGACTAGTACAGAGGTAGGCCACCTTGGCTCTTTTATGACTCCTGGACCTCAACTCCCAGAATTCCTGAGTCAGCCAGGGATGGCTCAGGAATTCTGGGAGTTGAAGTCCACCAGTCATAAAAGAGCCAAGGTTGCCTATCCCTGGAATAGGCCTACCAGTTTTTGATAGTCTACTCCTGTCAGGCTTCATAGACTAGTACAGAGGTAGGCCACCTTGGCTCTTTTATGACTCCTGGACCTCAACTCCCAGAATTCCTGAGTCAGCCAGGGATGGTTCAGGAATTCTGGGAGTTGAAGTCCACGAGTCATAAAAGAGCCAAGGTTGCCTACCCCTGGAATAGGCCTACCAGTTTCTGATAATCTACTCCTGTCAGGCTTAATTGACTAGTACAGAGGTAGGCAACCTTGGCTCTTTTATGACTGGTGGACTTCAACTCCCAGAATTCCTGAGCCAGCACAGCTGGCTCAGGAATTCTGGGAGTTGAAGTCCACCAGTCATAAAAGAGCCAAGGTTGCCTACCCCTGCTCTAGGAAGCCCAGAAAGCACACACACAAGGGTGGGGGATCTCCCCCCCACACACAAGGACCGCGCTGCAGGGCGAGGGGAGCAAAGCCGAAGCCGGGCGAGGTCTCCAGGATGCAGCCGGCTCGGCTGGCTGGCTGGCGAAGGGCCCCGCCTGCCTCGAAGCCCCCTTCCAGGCTGCAGAGCCCCGGCGCAACGGCTGGGAGAAAGGCGGAATTCCCCGGGCGCGCTCCCTTACCAGTAAACCACCTTGATCTTGACCGCCATGGCTGCGCGCGCCGCCTCCGAGAGCGGGGGGGGCGGGCGGGGAGCAGGCAAGAACGTTCGGACCGCCAACGTTCTGATTTGGAGCGTTGTGTTGCCCGAGGTTTTAACCCGACGTTCGGACGATACCACCGGCCGGGAAAAGGAAGGGGAGGTTCAAAACCAAAACGAAACAAAAATCAGAAATCTTTCCGTTCCCGGTTCGAATCCCCGCGTTTGGCGTCAGACAGGCACGCAACAATTGCCTATCAATGTTAGTTCTTTTAAAAAAAAAACCAAAACGTATCAGAACAGCATTACAGCCCACTCCGGGGTTGGGGCTTCCCCCCCCCCCGCTTCTTGACACGCTATTCCAGCGGTGACTCGAGTCACGTGACAGCTGCAGATGTGGGCAGGGGATTTTTTTTTAATTTTTATTTTTTTTTATTTTTCCTTTTTTCCCGCTATACAACAAAAACAAAACTGGAAAAAAATACATTTTTTTCCCTTAACAAAACTGTACTATACATCTCATATATATTATTTACAATTTATTTACATCCGTAATCGTGTCTTTTTCTTTGTTCTAGCTCAGTGTTTCTCAACCGTGACAATTTTAAGGCATGTGGACTTCAACTCCCAGAATTCCACAGCCAGCAATGCTGGCTGTGGAATTCTGGGAGTTGAAGTCCACATGCCTTAAAATTGTCAAGGTTGAGAAAACACTAGCCAATCGTAACATTTGTTCCATATTTCATACAATTCTGTTGCCTCCTTGTCTTTTAATTCTAGCGTAAGTTTATTCATTTCCGTAAGTTTATTCATTTCCGCGCATTCAAGAATTTTGTATATAATCATATCGTTGGTAGGTATGTTTTCACCCTTCCAACACTGAGCGTATACTATAAGGGGTGCTGTCAATATATGTATAATGATGTGCTGGGGTTGCTTTTTGATCTTTAAATTTATTATACCCAGAAGAAATAGTTCAGGTTTGAATTCAATTTGCACCTTAGTTATCTCCTGTATCCAGTTCCCTATCCGCTCCCAATAGCTCTTTGCTTTAGGGCACAGCCACCACATGTGATAGAACAGTGGTTCTCAACCTTTTTAATGCCGCGACCCCAACCGGTCGTAAGTCGAGGACTAAACTGGTCGTAAGTCGAAAACTACCCAACCGGTCGTAAGTCGAGGACTTTCTCTGCCCGGGAGCGCCACACATGCGTGGTTCCGCCCCCTGCGCCGGCCGAGGCGTAGCTGGCAAGCGGCAGAGACGGAGCAGGCCGACCACCAGCTGGCCCAGCCCAAGGGAGGTAAGGCACCCGCCGGAAAAGGGGGAAAAAATGGCGGTCAAAAAAAATGGCGGACAGCCTTGCTTGGCGACCCCCGTGAAATGGTCGATCGACCCCAAATGGGGTCCCGACCCACAGGTTGAGAACCACTGTGATAGAATGTCCCTTCCTTATTTTTACATTTCCAGCATTCCGGATTCATATTTTTATATATTTTTGGCCAGTCTCGTCGGTGTTAAATGCCATCTATAGAACATTTCGTATTGATTTTCCCTACATGCAGTTGACAAGTGTCAGTTTGCAATTTATGTTCCATAGTCTTTCCCATTCTTCCAGATTTATATTGCGGCCCGCATTTCTCGCCCATGCTATCATTGGCCCCTTCACTATTTCTTCCTCCAGATCTAAATTTAAATTTTATTTTAAAAGTTCCCTTGGTTTCTCCGCCCACGAAAGCGATGCGAAGGTGCAAAGCACCGTTGGAGTTAATAAAAATAGTTAATGGGATGCGTGCGTGAAATTTAGCAAGGGAGGAAAAAGCACGCTTGTAAAAAAATTTTTTGAAGTAATGAAACATTGGCCGAGACCGTTCTGCAGCGCCCTGAACTTAACGAGCGGAAATAATGTAAATAAATGACAAACGTTGACATTCCGATTTTAAACTGTTCTTAATTTTTGATTAAATTAAGCCTTGAGCCCAGCATTTTCCTTTGCGCACAAACTACGTCTGGTGTTAAACATATAAGGAATGGTTGCTGGAATTGGGTATCTCTAGTTTAATGAAGAGAAGGACGGGGGGGGGGGGGGGCAGGATAGCAGCCTTCCAGTATCTCAGGGGCTGCCCCAAAGAAGAGGGAGTCAAGCTATTCTCCCAAGCGCCTGAAGGCAGGACAAGAAGCAACGGGTGGAAACTAATCAAGGAGAGAAGCAACCTGGAACTAAGGAGAAACTTCCTGACAGTGAGAACAATTAACCAGTGGAACAACCTGCCTCCAGAAGCTGCGAATGCGCCAACACTGGAAGTTTTTAAGAAGAGACTGGACAGCCATTTGTCTGAAATGGTATAGGGTTTCCTGGCTGAGCAGGGGGTTGGACTAGATGACCTCCACGGTCCCTTCCATCTCTGTTATTCTGGTCAGAGAGAGATTCAACCTGGAATTAAGGAGCAATTTCCTGACAGTGAGAACAGTCAGTCAGTGGAACCCCCTTGCCTGTCAAAGTTGTGGGCGGATAGCCCATCGCTGGAGGTTCTCAAGAAAAAAAGGAGTCAGCCAATTTTTACTTAACAACCCTAGATAGAAAGGTCACAAACTCAGACATGAATCACTTCACAACTGCCTTGCTTAGAAATGGAAATTCTGGTCCCATTGTAAATCAAGGACTACCTCTAGCTGTCGGAGATTATTCAGATGTTCCACAATTGCAACTGATAAGTCGGTTAAAAGAGTTGGAGGTTGCATTTCTGAAATGTGCGAGGCTTTGCTAGTTTTCTCTCTGGCAGCTTCGTGCATTATGCCGGTTTGGCTATTTTATGGGTCAAGTATATTTCGAGGACCTAAAACAGGGGTCTTCAAACTTGGCCCTTTTATGACTTGTGGACTTCAACTCCCAGAAAACAGGGGTCTTCAAACTTGGCCCTTTTATGACTTGTGGACTTCAACTCCCAGAATTCCTCAGCCAGGCTGAGGAATTCTGGGAGTTGAAGTCCACAAGTCATAAAAGGGCCAAGTTTGAAGACCCCTGACCTAAAACAAAAAAGGTCAATTCTATAACCAGGATGGTCCTCTTGTTTGGATCACGCCAAACATCACATTAAATATCGTTCCAGGCCTCAGATGTCTTTGAATGGAACTGTCTTGCTTAAAACTGATCATCAGCCTGTATAACGTCAAAGGTTTCATGGTCATCACCCAATTGGTTGTGGCTGTGGTTGAACACAACCGCCAACTGGGCGATCACCATGAAACATTTTTTCCCCAAAGATACCAGAATTAGAACGGCTGTCTATTAACACAAGGCCGGCTTGTCTGGAGCGGAGATGTGCCATTCCAAAATAAGCACAAAACGGTCACAGGACATCATGAGACCGGCAAGGCTAGTCTGAATATGCTTTCTGTAGAGAGCGATCAAAAGCACATTCCAAAGGGTGGCCATTCTTTGCAGATCCAAATTAAAAACTAGTCTTTCTTAGCCCTAAGTAAGGGGGCTAAGATCTCCGAAGCCGTACAGATAGTCCTCGGCACACAACCATTCGTAGTGACCGCGATGATGTAGGACAGAGGTCCCCAACCTTTCGGACACCAGGTACCGGTTCCGTGGAGAGAGGGGTTTTTTCGCGGACCGGAGGGAGCGTGGTTTTGTGTGCTGCCTGCATCCTGCACAAGGGGGTTCGCTTGTTTGCACGGACCGGTTTACGGCATGCCGCAGACCGGTGCCGATCCACGGACCGGGGGTTGGGGAGCCCTGATGTAGGAGGAGGACAGGCAGAGCCTAGGGCAGTGGTGGCGAACCTATGGCGCGGGTGCCAGAGGCGGCACTCGGAGCCCTCTCTGTGGGCACACGTGCCGTTGTCCCAGCCTCGCCTCCCCCCGCGACCCCCTCCTCTCCAGCAGCCCCCCTGGAGGAGAGTTGCCCCTGAGCGTGGCCCACGCGGACCAGCGCAGCCAAGGACATGGCAGCCAGGCAGCATAGACAAGACTCTGCCCTCACACCCCATCGTGCACAGCTGATGCTGCGGGGCGCGGGCAGAGGGCGTGACTGCCGTAGCGCTGCTGGGCTGCCTGGGCCATCTGGCCCTGGAGGCGGTGAGTGGCCCTGTGGGCAGGGGGGGTGGAAGATGGGGGACGGAGCAGGGCCGGGGCCAGTTTTTGGGCACTCGGTCTCTAAAAGGTTCGCCATCACTGCCCTAGGGGCAGAGTCAAGAGACGAATTAGCCTGCAGTCTTTATATTCTCACAAGCGACCTAAGTCCTGCTTGAGGGAGACAGCATGATCCGAAAATGTTTCCGTGGTCATATGGCCAGCTATACACCCAGGCACATGGAACGCTGTTAGCTTCCCACCGAAGTGGTACCTATTAATCTAATAATTGCATTTGCATGCTTTCAAACTGCTTAGGTGGGCAGGAGCTGAGGCAAGGAACGGGAGCTCACCCCATCATGTGGCTAAGCGATGCGATCGGAGGACGTTTCGGTTTATGACCACATTATTATTATTATTATTATTATTATTATTCCAATTTGTATCCCGCCCTTCTCCCGAAGGACATAGTAAGGGAAATGTTGAAATAAAATGACCACGATCACCAAGAGAAAGTTTAAAATATTTAAAAGCAATTAAAAGATTAAAAGCAATTAAAATATTAAAATATAGGCAACCAAGCTTTCGTCGGGCTCTCCCGACATCATCAGGGTTGATAAGGCGGTTTCGGGGAGGGCTTATATGCCGCCTCCAAGTGCTTGCATCCGGCTACGTGACCGTGTGATCGGGCCCAGGTGTCTGCGCTCCTGCGCTCTGGGTGCGTTCTTTTTACCCGCGTGTAAACCCTTCACCTCCCTTCCCTGCTTATCATCACCTGGCCCTTGGGTATCCTCATTGGGGGCGACTGGGAGTTCTTTCCCATGCCTCCCATCAATTTTGACCTCCACATCCTTAACCGAAACCGCCTTATCAACCCTAATGATAAGCCCGACGAAAGCCATTTTATTTCAACATGAATACACCCAAGAGTCGAATTTTTAGTTCTATTACTAGTCAGTAAGGGAAATATACGGTCCTAATTGTGATTGTAAGTCGAGCAGTA